TATTTATAATGATATCCACCCTGCCACAAACACTAGTTCTCCTCTTGAAGACATTCTGACTAAATTTACAAACCTACCAAATGGTGGGAGATCAGTTTGCAACTACATCAAGAAATCAGCCAGAAATGTCCCATTTCTTAACACAGATGATGGCAATGAAGATGAAGGAAGGAAGACAGCGTCCATATAGCGCTGAGTGTTTTCTGTAATGGAAAATTTACCACTACTATATTTTTCTATGCCAGTGGGGGACCCATTTCTTTAAAAATGCATTTTCCACAAAATTAATGAATGAATAAAGAATACCCTTCAAAGTTAAGCTCTGGCATGGCCAAAGTTACCTATTTTTACAGGTGGCTTTCCTAAGACCCTCTTTATCCTGCTGTTCCATTCTGTAGGAGTGCTTGCATTTCGCACACTGTTTATGAAACCCCATGAATCTGCTGGACCCTTGCCACTTGCCTCAAACCATATCCTCCTCTCCCCAGACGACACCACTCTCCAGTCTAGCAACTGTTGCTTCTTCATTTTGGAAACCTAGGTGTGTGGCCGAAATAAAAAATAGTCCAGTAGCACCTTAGAGACCAACTAAGTTTATTCTAGGTCAGAGGTCCTTAAACTTTTTCAGCAGGGGGCCGGTCCACTGTCCCTCAGACTTTGTGGGGGGCCGGAATATATTTTTTGAGGGGAAATGAACAAATTCGTATGCCCCACAAATAGCCCAGAGATGCATTTTAAATAAAAGGACACATTCTACTCTTGTAAAAACACGCTGATTCCCAGACCGTCCGCGGGCCAGATTTAGAAGGCGATTGGGCCAGATCCGGCCCCCAGGCCTTAGTTTGCCTACCCATTTTCTAGTTACAGTGGTACCTCGGGTTAAGTACTTAATTTGTTCCAGAGGTCCGTACTTAACCTGAAACTGTTCTTAACCTGAGGTACCACTTTAGCTAATGGGGTCTCCTGCTGCTGCTGCGCCGCCAGAGCACGATTTATGTTCTCATCCTGAAGCAAAGGTAACCCAAGGTACTATTTCTGGGTCAGCAGAGTCTGTAACCTGAAGCGTATGTAACCTGAAGCGTATGTAACCTGAGGTACCACTGTATAAGCTTTCGGGTGCATGCACACTTCTTCAGATAGGTGTGTGGCCTTAGACTCCCAAAAGAGCCTTGCTGGGTAAGGGCAACTCCCCGTCTATTCCAGCATCCTGTTCTCACAATGGCCAAACAGATGCCTATGGGAAGCTGGCAAGCAGGACCTGAACACTGTAGCCTTCTCAATCCTTAAAATCCCCAGCAATGATCATTCAGAGACATACTGCCTCTAACAATGGCAGTGGAAAATAGACACTGATAGCCTAAATCCGCCATAGATTTGCCCAATACTTTTCTAAAACCACCCAGGTTGGTGACCATCACTACATCTTGCATGAGCAAACTTCACAACTGCAGCACCTACCAAAGAGTCTGTGTAGTTAAAGCTATGGTTTTCCCAGTAGTGATGTATGGAGGTGAGAGCTGGACCATAAAGAAGGCTGATCGCCAAAGAATTGATGCTTTTGAATTAGGGAGCTGGAGGAGACTCTTGATCAAAGCAAAGCAAAGCAAAGACTGCAAGAAGATCAAACCTATCCATTCTGAAGGAAATCAGCCCTGAGTGCTCACTGGAAGGACAGATCCTGAAGCTGAGGCTCCAATACTTTGGCCACCTCCTGAGAAGAGAAGACTCCCTGGAAAAGACCCCGATGTTGGGAAAAATTGAGGGCACAAGGAGAAGGGGACGGCAGAGGATGAGATGGTTGGACAGTGTTCTAGAAGTTTGAACAAACTGCGGGAGGCAGTGGAAGACAGGAGTGCCTGGCGTGCTCTGGTCCATGGGGTCACAAAGAGTCGGACACAACTAAACAACAACAACCAAAGATTTGTTATGTCTACAATCTCCATATTGGAGCAGAGGCTGAAGACCTGGTCCTACAGTTACCAAGTTGTGCCTGATGAAGAGTTCTGGAGAACAAGGAAGATTGCCAATATCCTATGATATGCTGGTTGTTTCCAATAAAATTATTGCCCAGCTATGGATTTTTTGAAGGGCTGCCCTGCTACCCCTTATGGACCAACCTGATTACCTTTGCTTTTTAAAGCAACCGTATTAGTTGCCTGTGGCAGTTTTCAATTTCTTGCTTGCCTTGGGCCATTCGAGTTTTGATATTCTTCCTTTTCTCAAAACCAGATCAGACCATCTCAAGTTTTGTGTTAGCCAAAGTAGGATGGACTGAATTTTGGCATATAATTTTGTGAACTTTAATCACCGCGGATGTGTTGTAGATTACTCACTGTAGAAGAATGAGCACAGCTGCCCAGTCTCCTTTGCGTACAGGGCATTTGCATTCTTACGGATGTAAATAAAACTGGCAGCTCAATAGATTTTGCTGCCACACTCGCCAGATTAACACCAGCAAAATATATTTGTGTTCTCCAGTGAGAAGATAGAAAAAAATCCTAGAAAGAGAAAGCTGTCTGTGGTTATCAAAGCCTCCCACACCCACGTGTCTCACTGCTATTTTAATTTTTCCACCTCCCCCTTTCCTGCCCTTGCTGAGAAATTTGGGAACTGGTAGCAAACGCTTGTTTTAACAGCTGCTTATACAACATTATCTGTTAGACACAGATTACTTTATCTTTAACCTCTTTCAAAATGTCTTATCCTCTACTTGGATAAATAAAGCCAAATGTTCAAAGAAATGACTTTTATATATATAAATAAAAGTCTCACATTTCAGCATCTGCGCATTTATAAATATTTTTATAGAACTGTGAAGCTGGAAGGGACACCCAAGAGTCATCTAGTCAAAACCCTTCAATGCAGGAAATACAGCTAAACAATCCCTGACAGATAATAAATAAGAATAAGAATAAGAATTTTTTATTTATACCCCGCTCTCCCCGGCCAGAGCCGGGCTCAGGGTGGCTAACACCTGTAAAATCACAATAAAAACGTAATAGGAGAGGGGGGAAAGAAAAAGAAAAATTAAAATACGGGTTAAAATACAATTTAAAATCCAGCCTCATTTTAATAGTAGCCCATAGTTCAAAACCATAAGGGGAGGGAAACATAAGGGTCAGACTGAGTCCAAACCAAAGGCCAGGCGGAACAGCTCTGTCTTGTAGGCCCTGCGGAAAGATGTCAAGTCCCGCAGGGCCCTAGTCTCTTGTGACAGAGCGTTCCACCAAGTCGGGGCCAGTACTGAAAAGGCCCTGGCCCTAGTTGAGACCAATCTAACCACCTTGCGACTTAGGACCTCCATTTGTGGACCTTAAGGTCCTCCACGGGGCAAACCACGAGGGGCGGTCCCGTAGGTACGTGGGTCCTTCCAACCTCTGTTTACGAATCTCTAAGGAAAATATCCAAAGGCCCATCTACTCCATCATCCTCTTTTCACAGTGGAAGCAGGACCTGAGCACAACAGCACCCTCTCCATATGCAATTCCCAGCAACTGGTATTCAGAGACATGCTGGAAGCAAGAACACAGCTGGGATGGATAGCAGCCATTAACAGCTTCATCCTCCAAGAATTTGTCTAAGCCTTTTTTTAAAAACCACCCAAATTCGTGGCCACCACTGCATCCTGCAGGAGTGAGTTGAACAGTATAGCAGTACATTCTTTTGTCTATCCTGAACCTTCCAATGTTCAGCTTCAGAGGCCCTTTCTAGGACTTCAGTCTGGATAAACAGATCAAGATGACTATGGGTATTATACTATTTTTAAAAACCTACCGGTCCTCTCAAATCAATGAGTTCCTGTCTCATCTGAGTCACAAGAGCTTCTTTAGCCATCAAAGCGCGGTGCAGCCTCTCGTTGAATTCTATCAGTTCCCCGTGCATCTCCGCCACCTGGAAAACAAGCAATACCATTTCTTTATTTTTGAAAGCCACTTCGTTTTTATACTGTCAACAAAAGAAACGACGTTAGTGGGCAGCAAATATACTGTGTGATATCAAGTAAGTACATTCTGCACACAGTGGCCAGGTTCCCATATAACGCGATAAGCCGTACTATGGGTGAGTGAGAATGTGCAAGTTTGCTGGAGAGGAGCTCACAGCCCTACCATTTCCTTTTTTGCTACTGCACAAAGATGAGCCAATATTGCATACCATCCAAACCAGGGCTTCTGGCAGAGCTCTTTCCTTGCTAGCCACAAAGTGCAGAAGAATGTAGAAACTGCCTTATATCAAGTCAGACTACTGCGTCCATCCAGCTCAGTACGGTGGTACCTCTGGTTACATACTTAATTCGTTCCGGATGTCCGTTCTTAACCTGAAACTGTTCTTAACCTGAAGCACCACTTTAGCTAATGGGGCCTCCCGCTGCCAACGCGCCGCCGGAGAACGATTTCTGTTCTCATCCTGAAGCAAAGTGCTTAACCCGAGGTACTATTTCTGGGTTAGAAGTCTGTAACCTGAAGCGTATGTAACCCAAGGTAGCACTGTACTATCTACACCATGGGTTGGCAAACTAAGGCCCGGGGGCCGGATCTGGCCCAATCGCCTTTTAAATCCGTTCTGGGGATGGTCCAGGAATCAGCGTGTTTTTACATGAGTAGAATGTGTGCTTTTATTTAAAATGCATCTCTGGGTTATTTGTGGGGCCTGCCTGGTGTTTTTGCATGAGTAGAATGTGTGCTTTTATTTAAAATGCATCTCTGGGTTATTTGTGGGGCATAAGAATTTGTTCATTTCCCCCCCAAAAAATATGCAGTGGTACCTTGGGTTAAGAACTTAATTTGGTCTGAGGTACTATTTCTGGGTTAGCGGAGTCTGTAACCTGAAGCATCTGTAACCTGAAGCATATGTAACCTGAGGTACCACTGTAATCTGGCCCCCCACAAGGTCTGAGGGACAGTGGACCGGCCCCCTGCTGAAAAGGTTTGCTGACCCCTGGTCTACAGCAACCAGCAGATGACTCTTCGGGGCTTCAGGTAGGAGTTTTTCCCAGCCTTACCCGGAAATGCCAGGGATTGAACCCAGGATTTCCTGTGTGAAAGGCAGACACTCTATCACTGAGCTATGGCCCTTCCTGCCTGGCATCCTGCACATCCACGTGGTCCTCATAAGGAGGAGGACCATAGCACAGGAGCAGAGTGTCTGCTTCGCGTCCTGAAGGTCCCAAGTTCAATTCCCAGCATTTCCAGATAGATATCCGAGAGGATGCTGTTTGAAACCCTGGAGGGCTGCTGTCAGTCAGTGCAGGCAATGCGGGCCAGTGGCCTGACTCAGTATAAGAAAGCATCTTGCATTCCTATATTTGGCTCATTCCTGCGTGTGGTCCCCACCCCCTGAATTGATGCTACAATGGCTCTTCACTGGAACTTACTCATTAACTCATCTCGGAAAGTGGTGGACTCTACTTAAAGGGGAAGGGGTTTAAAACAGAGGTTGGATGGCTGTTGATCATGGGTTCCTGGGTTGATTCCTGCATTGCATGAGGTTGGACTAGATCCCTCTTTGGGTCCCTTCTAACTCTACAATTCTATGTCATACAGACCAGGCTGCAGTGCTCCCTTGACACCAACCTTTTATTATTATTATTCATTTCTATTTGCATTATGCTTTTCTGTTCTACTTAATTCTGTTATGGGGGTAACTTCACAGCCTCATTGGATTTAATTAAAGATAACCTAGTTAATTACTCCGTGCTAGCTTGTTCAGATAAGATCAAGCGTGTACTTATTCCACGCTAACAATTAGAGCATTATGTATTCACACCCGAGTTGCCGCCTGAATAACAGTCCCAGGATGATGGTTCTACACTGAACCTATGAAAGTAGCTAGGAAGATTATTTAATCAATATAAAACCATATGGAGAAACATTATTATTAACGGTGCATTAAATGAGTGTGCCTGTTGGACCATAAGGAATGCCAATCTTTCCTCAGAATTCAAAATCAGGCATGGACGTGTAAAGCAGACACCCAGTTCTGAAATTCATGTACTGTATGCAGATTGAACGTTTGAAAAGAAAAGGAAGGCCATTTTCAAACTCGGAATTTGTTTTCGCTCCAGGGCACATGTGAGTCTTTCTGATCACGAGAACAGCCTACTGGATCAGACCAAAGCCCTGTCTAGTCCAGCATCCTGTTCTCACAGTGGCCAGATACTTATAGGAAACCCACAAACAGAGTCTGAACCCAACAGCACTCTTCCCACCTTGAATTCTCAGGGACTAGTATTCAGAGGCACTGACAGTGGAGGAAAAATGTAGCCATTGTGGCTAGCAACCATTCATTCTGACCCTGGTTTATCCTGTGGGGAGCCTGGTCCTCCAGATATTGGTGGGACTACAATCCCATCATTCCTGACCACTGGAGTTGTCGCCCAGTAACATCTGGAGGACCAGGCTCCCAGGCTGGGAAAAACTCCTACCTGAAGCCCCGAAGAGGCATCTGCTGGTTGCTGTAGACCAGGGATCAGCAACATCTGCATTTCTTGTCCCATCATAGCCACATGTCACTATATTGCTACTGTACCGTAGCAGCTGATTACCGTATTTTTCGCCCCATAGGACGTACTTTTTCCCCTCCAAAAATGAAGGGGAAATGTGTGTGCATCCTATGGGGCAAATGCAGGCTTTCACTGAAGCCTGGAGAGCGAGAGGGGTCGGTGCGCACCGACCCTCTCGCTCTCCAGGCTTCGCACATATCTCCGTAAGCCGTGGGAGCCCGTGCCTGAAGCACAAGTACCGTATTTTTTGCCCTATAGGACGCACCGTCCCATAAGGCGCACCTAGTTTTTGGGGGGGGGAAATAAAGGGGGGGAAATTATTTTCCCCCCCAGGCGTGGGGCTGGGGAAGCCCGAGCTTCCCCCGACCCCAGCTCCCAGAACAGGCAACTCTCTGCAGCGCAGGGCTCCTGCGGCTTGCGGAGAGTTGCATGCATGCCGAAGGCTGGGCGCGCTGAGCTCAGCACGCCCAGACTTCACGCAGCTCTCGGCAAGGCGCAGGAGCCCTGCGCTGGGCTCCCATGGCTTGCGGAGAGTTGCCTGTTCTGGGGGCTGGGGTCGGGGGAAGCTCGGGCTTCCCCAGCCCCAGCCCCGCGCCTGTGGGGGAAATAAATTTTTTCCCTTTACTTCCCCCCAAAAAAAACTAGGCGCGCCTTATGGGACGGTGCGTCCTATAGGGCAAAAAATACGGTATTTGTGCTTCAGGCAAGATTTTGAAAACCCCTGCTTGAAAGATAAAACACCAGTCAACTGAAGAAAACCTCTGAACCAGCACTATAATCAGGGATGCCACAAGAATCTCACGGACTGATCTCTGCTCTCTTTCACCAGATTTCGTCAGCGCTCTAAAAATGTCTAAACTAGGGCTCACATGAAATTTCTTTAAAAACAAGAGAACACAAAACTCTGAGACAAATGTGCACTCTCCCGCTTTCAGCATAACTTATTTCACAGTGTGAACAAGAGTAAAAAGGAAGGACCATATACACAGCCCGAGCCTGTTGGAGGAAGGAACATAAATTGTAATAAACAAACCATAATAACAAGCAGCGGTGATATCTTGTCTTCGTAGCACCACCATCTCCCTAGAGAAAGCTGTGGGGAACCTGTGGCCCTTCAGATGTTGCTAAACTACAACTCCCATCAGCCCCAACAAGCACGGCCAATGGACAGGAATGATGGGAGCTGCAGTCTAGCAATACCTGGAGGACCAAAGGTTCCCCACTCCTGCCCTAAGGGTTCACAGGTTGGAGCAGAAGCTACAGTGAAACTGGAGAAGATCTTTCTCATAGCAAAGTGATGCACAGGATCAAGCTATAGTTAAAGGTGCTTGCTGGGGGTCAGACAACATGTTTGCATGCAAAAGATCCTCAGTTCAATTTCTGGCACTTCCAGGTAGGAAGCCACAGAGGGGAAGACCTCTTATGATGGACCTTGGAGAGCTGCTGCCAATCAGGTTGACATTATTGAGCTGGACAGAGCAAAGTTCTGACCTGACCAGCCGTACGTTCAGCTCACAATGCCTTATTCTCCTCTATCATCTTTCCCCAACCTGATGCTCTGGAGATGCTATTGGGCGGGGGACGTCGGTGGTGCTGTAGTCTAAACCATTGATCCTCTTGGGCTTGCCGATCGGAAGGTTGGCGGTTCGAATCCCCGCGATGGAGTGAGCTCCTGTAGCTCTGTCCCAGCTCCTGCCAACCTAGCAGTTCGAAAGCACGCCAATGCAACAGATAAATTGCACTGTGGCAGGAAGGTAAACGGCATTTCCATGCGCTCTGGCTTCTGTCATGGAGTTCCATTGCGCCAGAAGCAGTTTAGTCATGCTGGCCACATGACCCGGAGAGCTGTCTGTGGACAAATGCCGGCTCCCTCGGCCTGAAAGCAAGATGGGTGCCGCAACCCCATAGTCACCTTTGACTGGACTTAACCATCCAGGGGTCCTTTACCTTTTTTGCTATTTTTTGCTATTGGGTGACAACCACTACCAGTGCCAGCCAACGTGGCCAATGGTCATGAGGTTTGTAAGCTGAGGCATCTGGAAGCCAGCAAGTTGCGGGGGGGTGGGAAGGCTGCTCTGGGGTCTGCTGTTATTCTGAGCATGTCTTCCCTGTCATTGCTCTGTCACTAACTGTGCTATTTCAGTTGACAGTCTCTGTCAAAACATGTGGAATGTTACTGTAGCTTTTCACAGCTTTTGGAAACCCCTATTTATCTCTGTTGAAGCAGGTCCCGTCAAAAGGGACCACAAGGCTTCAGGACAGGGCAAGCTTGGCACATTTGAATCGCTCGTTTCTATTGAGTCAGCAATTCTCTTTCTTTTCAATGTGATTGTTTTCGTCTAAATAAAAATCTACTGGTCCTAGTAGCATTTTTGGAATCTCCACTGCAGCATGCTGCAATATCCAGCATGATCCAGTTTCTAAGATAAAGCAATCAGATGTGAAGAGGGGGAGAAGAGAACTTTTCTTATGCAGAGGTGGGAGACATAAATGATTTCCAATCAAAGCAGAACCTAAATCCCCATAGCTGTTTCAAGAAACTACAGCTCTGAAGGAAATCTGATCATTCTATTAAAATCACACATTTTGATCAAACAATCTCAAAACTTTATTAATATTAATGGGAGCCGTGTGCTCAGCAGGAGCCCTCAGTAATCTGACATATTTTCTATTACACTCAGAAGAGAAACGCCAGCCTATTAGCGTAATATTCAGACAGAAACCACTTGGCTTTACAGCTGATAGCCATGAAAGCCAACTGTTCTTGTGATGCAACCAATTAGCTTGTCAAATTACTCAGGATGATTATTTCTTTAATAAATTTGTTTCTGCGGCAATTTCTCTACATAAAGTTGAATAATGCAACAGTGATGAAAAAATAAGCAAAGATCTGATTTCATGTGACTTCACACTCATGAATGTTAATCACCTGCTGACCTCATGGATCTAGCAGAGCCAGGGAAGTGAACCTTTTTCAAACCAAGGACCACATCTACTACTATTAGTATACAATGACCTAAGCAACTTGGGATCCATTTATGTGTGAGATCATCATTCGGGACCCAGTCCATGGATTGCTCATATGGTTACAGAATGGTGCTAATAATGCCAAGGTTGCAGGTTCGATCTCAGTATGGGACAGCTGTATATTCCTGCATTTTAGCAGGGGCTAAAAACATTTTTGTTCAGAAAAGCCTATCCATATATGTAGAATCTGTTTTTCACTTATTGCTGGTTTCAATAATTATTTGAATGTTTTAAAGAGTTGTTTTAACTGTTTCTATTGTTTTATTCTTTTTTTGTAAAACCACACTGACATTTTTTTTTAAATCAAGCATTGTATAAATTCTATGAAACAAAATGCATAATAAATAAAACAAAAGCGTGGCTGTTGGAAAGAAATGGTAAAGATGTACATCTTCAGCATTTGTCAAAAACTGTATAATGAAGGTTCCAGATGCACCTCTGTGGGACAGAGCTCCATAATTTGGGGGTTGCCACAGAAAATGAGCTCTCCCTGGCCGCCACCCCCATCCCTGAGCTTCTGAGGGTGGTGGGAGAACCAAGAGGCCTCTT